TGGCATATTGTATGAGTGGCTTCATACTTCAGTTTCAGCCCTTGAGGTGGAGGTGGGTTTGTGGGGAAAGGCATTACCTTTTGTCAGACCAACTCATGTAGGTGGGAAAAAACAGCTGAGCTTTCAGGTGGGCAAACCTTCCTTCCCTCTGATACAGAAGCACCAAATGCCAGCCAAGCACAGGAGATGGGACAGAATCATAGAATCATTTAGGTTGGAAAAGTCCTCTAAGAGAACTGAGTCCCCCAGCACAGCCAAGGCCACTGCTGAATCGTGTCCTTAAGAGCAGAAGGGTTGCTGGTCACACTGCAGGGTTGATGGCAATCACAATGCTCAAACCAGCTTGGTTTCAGACCATTCCAGCAGGCCCAGCCTGGGCTGGTCCCTACACATTTTGAGGGAGACCATGGGCAGGGATCATTCCCCTTAGATGGTAAGGAGGGAACAGATGAAGCCAGAGGAGAATGATGTGTGAGAGTTATGCCTCTCCTCCGTGGCTTCCCAGAGCAGCAAACTCCAGCCCACATTTGCACACAGGTATTTTTTAAGGAAACAAGTTTCCCCGTTATCCCAAGGATCCAGGAAATAAGGAGCTAACAACAGAAAGCAAATTCCAGGAATAAATCTCAGGGCTCATGCTTTGCACAGCCAAGTGGAGCCTATGCAAGAGAAAAACATACTCTTGGACCAGAAGTTTGCTCAGGCTGTGACCATGTTGGTGCCTCTCAGTCTTTCCAGGGGCCCTTGGAAGTCTTGCAGACCTGCTCCAGGCTAATGGGAAGCCCAAGAGACCCTCCCAGAGAGTAACATTCACCTATTCATCTTGATAGCATTTGTTGTGACCAGCCAAGGTCCCAAATTCTCTCTTAGATCAAGAGGCCAAGAAGACAGGCCGTAAAGGCTACATCTGCACAGCTAAAATCAGCCCACCTGGGCCACTTTTGGCACAAATATCCTCATCTATACTGTTACTCAGGGTGGCCAGACCCAAACAGGCAGTCAGGATGGTGCCTGGCTCAGGCTGCTCCTCAGAACATCCCTGGAATGTAGCTGGGAGAGGGCCAGCTACCTCTGGCCAAGAACACCTTCAGACTGAATTAATGATTTGGCTCACAGTCACATCCAAGTGCCCAGCAGTGACCCCTGGCACTTTTTAATTTCCTAGCCACAGGGTCCCAAAAGCCATAAAACCCAGGCTTCATCTGCCTGAAACGAGGTGGAGAGACCAGGGTCCCTCACCCTTCAAATCCCAACAGCGATCACTCCCGGGAACCTCTTACAATTCTGCTTTAATTGTTGTGAGAGCTTTCCAGAGAAAGTGCTGGCACTGATTTGGATCTAAACCTCTCTCCTCATCTCAGGGTGCTGCAGGAGTGGCATCCGTGAGACCGACTTTTATAGCATTCCTCCGAGGGGTGAAATGTACCTACTGTAAAGCACTCTCTGTTAATTCTGGTGCATCATTTGCAGGAGAGCCACGTGGGGATCAGCGTGGGACATACAGATTTAGATCATTTAGCTCGAGTCAGGTGGTGCCTTGCTCCCAATTCCTCGCAAGTTAATTCTTACCTGGGATAATTATGTCTCTCTTCAATCTAGCCCAGCTTAACCCTTCTCATCCCACGCTCCTGCTGAGAGCACACCTGTGGTGATGGGGATGATGATTTGGCGGGGGGTTGTGACCATTGCTGACCTCTTCTACAGATTTCTTCCATGACCCTGGGCAATTCAATTAATTAATTTAGCTTGCTTGCTCCCTGATGCCCTCTGACAGATGAAAGCTGCCTGGTGTCTAAATTACACACTCCTGAGAAACCATCTAGCTGTTTAAGACAGACCTGCCCCTTAAGATCTGGTTTCTGATGAGACTGATGAGACTGACCCCATCTCCACTGCTCAAGCCCCACTCCATCCAGAACTGGGTCTTCTGAAATCGGCTGCAACTTGATGTTGAGGCATCTCCATCTTGTCCTGTGCAAGAAATAGAAATTAAAAAAAAAAAAAACAGGAACAGAATCTGACCTCATCCTGGAGCCCCTCTTCAAGGAGGGAACAAGGGAGTACCTGCCAAGCTGTTCCCATTCCTATTGAGCCCTAGTGCCACGTGATGGAACAGATGATGTGAGCTGAGCATGATCTGAAGCCAGGCAGCATGTGCAGGAATAGGGGTAATTAGGAAAAAATTCTTGTGAAGGGGTTGCCAAGCCCTGACACAGGCTGCCCAGGGCACTGGTGGAGTCACAATCCATGGAGAGATTTAAAAGACATGTAGATGTGGGGACTTGGGAACACGGGTTAGTGGTGGCCTTGGCAGTGTTGGGGAATGGTGGGACTTGATGATCTTAGAGGGCTTTTCCAACCTAAAGTATTCTGGGATTCTAGGATTAGGGCTTGTACATCCTGGGCCCCATTCTTCTTCAAGCCATCCCAATAAATTTGTCAGGTCACTGATGTTCTGCCCAGCACCTTCAGGCTCCCTGGCCTCTCACAAAACTGCCGTGCTCCAGGGTCTTTTTCTGTAGCCTAGACAAAAAAGAAAATGATATCTTGTATTCCAATAACCAATAAATTATTCTTGAAATGCCATAATTGCTCAGCTGCAGCTGCAACAGCGACTAAGTACAGAACTTTAATAAAATATTATCGTTCAAATCAATTTGCTAAGAGTCTGCCTTGCTTTCTACATGGGGTGCTAAGCAGCAAATAGGAAATACTGATCAGTGATTAGAGAGCCAAATAGCAAGAAAAGCCTGGAACCTGATTTTTGCCATCTGTACTTTTTTTTTTTTCCCAAGCTGTCTGAGCAAGGACAGGGGCCAGATTCTGCTCAGTGTTTGCAGAGTTGCACTTGTTTCAAAGGCACGGGAATGGCAGCTATTGCATGTATAGGTTTACAAAGTAGCTTAGGCATTTAAGAAGATAATCATCCAGAGAGATTTACAGAAGTGACTTTTACAGGGGGGAAAAGGGAAGGGAAGTGCCCAGCTCCCATCAGGGTGAAAAATAAACACAAATAAATCCAAAGCAACGATGCAATTGGCAGCTCTGGTAACAAGTTCAGAAAATGACCACATCTGGGCTATTCTGGATCAAAAACTATTGAAGTCAATGAAATTCGCTCTGGATTTACAATGGTATTAACTGAGATCAGAATCCGACCCTATAAATTTACTATTACTTCTAATCCCGGCACCTCTGATCTTGCTGAGATATTTGCTAACTGCTGAGCAGCTTGCTTTATTGACACTGAAATAACACACCCGTGCCCTACTATTGTTAAACTCAGCTGGTTTTAAAAACCCATCATACTGTTTGTCATGACTGACCTTAACAAACTGGCCTGCTGTCCTTGGATCTATGGGCAAGAAAGTTGTCAAATGCCCCCTTTTTTTGCAGCCTTCCACCACCAAAAAAAAAAAAAAAAGGGAGAAAGAAAGAAAAAAAGAGGAGAAAAAATCAATTTCAATCAACATGGAGTGTAATATTATCAAATGTCAGATGCTGAGGCCGTGTGCTTTGAAAATTATCCTTGACAGCTTCTTGTCGACTTAATTAAGTGCTCAAAAAAAAAAAAGAAGTAAAAAAAAAAAGCAAAATATCTCAATTGTCGGCTCCCTCTCTTTGTGCTTCAGAGGTTCTATTGACAGCTCTGAAAAAAAGATTGCCTTTGGGGGTTTTATTGATAGATCCTCGCCTGATATTGGAATGATTCCTGGGCAGATAAATCACATTTAGATTTGTTAGTAATTGAGGAGAATTGATTGAATAGTTAGGATGGTCCCAGAGGGAGGTACCTACTCCTCTTCCGTTCTGCAGAGGTTGTCATCAGATAAAGGACCTCTTTGGGCAGGATGGATAAAGGTCTAATTGTTTACATGATCAGGTATTGCTTCCTTTTAGCCCTCCCTCCCCAGACTTCCCCAACTTTCATGTGGCATGAATGTCAAGACGACAGTGGGGAAGGCCGTAAATAAAACAAAATGTGGGTGAGGGTGATCAGCCCTCTTCCTGACCTGGAAAGGCGCTAATTGTTTTCAGATCATTAGTGGAATTTGGGTACTAACAGCGTTTATTTAAACAGCTATGAATTTTATTTAGCAGCAGGTTAAGCTCGACTAACAGGTTGGGGGGGGGGGTTGTAAACTGAGTAGATCGTTTTGGCTGATAGGAACTGTGTGAAGGGCTGGCATGTTTGGTCCTCACTGGTGAGCTCCCCCTGAGCCCTGTGTCCCATCAGTCTGGGCGAGCTGCTGGTTCTTGCAGGGTCCCAGAGAGAAGCAGCATCGTAGAGTCTGTGCCAGAAAAATGTGAGTGGAATGATGAAACAGTGAGGGGAGACGCTTTTGAGGAGGGCATGTGGTGACAGGACAAGGGGAAATGGCTTTAAACTGAAAGAGATTAAGTTTAGATTGGGAATTAGGAAAAAAAATTGGTGAGGGTGGTGAGGCCCTGGCACAGGTTGCCCAGAGAAGCTGTGGCTGCCCCATCCCTGGAAGTGTCCAAGGCCAGGTTAGGCAGGGCTTGAAGCAACCTGGGATAGTGGAAGGCATCCCTGCCCTTGGCAGGGGTTGGAATGAGATGGTCTTTATGATCCTTTCCAACACAAACCATTGTATGATTCTAGGCTGGGAGCACTGGGGGGGAAGATGAAAACCTTGGGGGAGAGTTCAGAGCAATGTTGAGTGACAGTGGAGCAATGTGAGGGGACAGATTCTGCAGAGCCCCATCCTGCCCAAGCCAGAATTTGCAGCAGATAGTTGGATGACCTGCTCAAGGCTTTCCCATGCTGATAGCCTTTCCAAGACTATCAGAAGGAGTGGGAAGGATGACTTTCCAGAGAGGGTTTTTACATGGACTAAAAAAAGCTCTGAGAAAGAGAGAGTGACATTTTCATTATCACTTCCCGTCCATTTTTAAAGATTTTATTTCTTTATGAGAGGGAAGATACATTGCAGTCTGCTTGGCACTTCAAGAGACAACTTATTTCTGTACATACCAACTATAGATTCTCCATGGACCCTCTCTCTATGTTAACTTCCTATAATTGCTCAGGCAGGATCTTGTTTTCTCTACCATCTATACAGGGCAGGGTGCTCAGGTTGATCATCAACATGTACTGTGCCACGATTTTCTTCCAAGGACCTGTTTGGGAATAAAAGGAAAATGTTTGAAAATCGTTTTTTAAAATCTAAACTCATTCCTACTGGTTTCTAAAAAGGGCTAAAATGACTTAGTCAGCATTTCTCGTCCTCTTCTCTCAGCACTGGAGAGAGGGTAGAAAGTTACAATTAAAAAAAGAATCAATCAAGGAAAAATAAAGTAAATGTTTTATTTTCCCATCATCCAGCTTCATCGAGAATGAAAGACATTGAGGGAAAAGAAAGGCCAGTTTTTTAGCTCAAAGTAAATACTGTTTTGGAACCACCAAATGTTTAATTTGTCATAATGAGTGATAAGAAGCTTGAATTCCCCCCTGCAGGCCTGATCCTCTTAAAATTTCAACCCCACTCATAGACATAAAATGTCCACTGCTCAACCCAGTCAAGCAGGTCTTTGGCAGAGGCTGCAGGAACCAGGTTCCTCTCTAGGTCAAACCTGTCACCTCCATCTACCGCCCTGCAACCTCCTCATTCCTCTGGGAGTGGGCTATTGAAGTGCAAATGGATCTAAACCAGCCATGAATAAATTTAGGGTGGAAATTAGAAGAAGCTTTCTAATTATCAGAGTTGTGAATATCTGAAATCATCTACTGTTAGAAGCAGAGGACCTGCTAAAAAAAAAAAGAAGCAATGGTGGTGCTGCTGGTTGGGAGCATTTTGGGAGATGCCAGGGCCTTAATTCACAGAGAGAATCTTCCTGCTTGCCAGTAGTGGAAATGGTGTGTCTTCTTTTACACATCCAGGTGCATTCAGATAGACTCTGGAGCAATAATGAATTGCAGACTCATTTAGGTTGGAAAAGCCCTTTGAAGTTATCAAGTGCAACAGTGTCCCCAGCACTGCCAAGGCCACCACTAACCCATGTCCTCAAGTGCCACATCCACACAGGGATGGGGACTCCAACACTGCCCTTGATGACACTTCCCTTGAAGACATTTTCCCTAATATCCAATCTAAACCTCCCCTGGCCCAACTTGAGGCCGTTTCCTCTTGTCCTGTCCCTTGTTCCCTGGGAGCAGAGCCCGATCCCCCCAATTGGCTCCACTCTCCTGTCAGGGAGTTGCAGAGCCAGAAGGTCCCCCCTGAGCCTCCTTTTCTCCAGGATGAGCCCCCCCAGCTCCCTCAGATGCTCCTGCTGCTCCAGACCCTTCCCCAGCTCCGTTCCCTTCCCTGCACACGCTCCAGCCCCTCAATGTCTTTCTCAAAGTGAGGGGTCCAAATTCCTAATCAACACATTGGCCCCTCACAAAGTTATTTCTTCAGTGTAAAAATATAAGTTTTTACAAATAACTTTGTGAGAACTTTAACCCTGAAAACTCTGACACACCTGTTTCTGCACAAGTCAACTACTGTTCTAGCCAAAGCAGATGTCTCAACCAAAGGAAAAACCAAATCACTTCCATGTGATAGTCACTTTGACCATGGCTTTAGGTGAAGTCTTCTTTGAAGACTTAGAAGAGAATCTGGACAAAGTCAAGGAAACAGGCTTGGGCCTGAGACAGGGCATGGCCTGAAGCTGTGTCAGGGGAGGTTTAGGTCAGATATTAAAATAAGGTTCTTCCCCCAGAGGGTGGCTGGGTGCTGAACAGCCTCCCCAGGGCAGTAGTCAAAGCACCAAGGCTGACAGAGCCCAAGAAGAGTTTGGTTGATACTCTCAGGCTCATGGTGTGACTCTTGGGGATGGCCCTGTGCAGGGCTAAGGGTTGGACTTGATGATCCCTGTGGGTCCCTTCCAACTCAATATATTCTGTGATTCTGTTATTTGACACTGATTGGATTTCCCAGCACCAAATCCGATGCTGAAAGTATTCATAGACACACCTGAATCCACATCAAAAATCAAAATTTTTCAGGCGTGTTTTACTGTACTACCACAAAGCAAGTATTTCTTCTAAGCCAGTTCCTTTCCTCCCTTCAAGCCTTCCCCCCCTAAAAGCTGTTGAATTGCCTCTCTTTTTTTTTTTTTTTTTAACTTTCCTTTGCTCATTCCCATAGCAAGAGTGGAATTGATTTTTGATACTATCCATTTTGTTTGTCACAGATCGTCTTCCACTTCCCCCTGCGCATTGCTGAAATATCACCCACAAATGATTATTCCTATCACTGCAGCCAACGCTTCGCCCGGGGCAGGGAATCTTCCCGCAGTAAAAAAAAAAAAAAAAAAAAAGGAAAAAAAAAAGAAAAAAGGAAAAAAAAATAGAGAGTGGCCGCATAATTGAAGGCAGAAGCACCAGCACCTGTAGCCTGAAAATGTTAATAAACTACCAGAGGTCCCAGGAAAGTTAAATACTGGGAGGGATGTCAGAGCCGCGGCGTGATTAGTGGAACTGAACGACAAAGAGCACCTGCCTAAGGCGCCGGCACGGGGAGGATCAGTCTCCCTCTGACATCCCAACATGCCATCCGCCTCCCGGGATGGGGTTTCCACTGCAGCTTTGCTTACAGGGAGGCAATCAGAGCAGGGGAAGCGTGCTTGTATTGACACAGAGCTTGTTTTCTTGGCCACGGGTTTGGGGGCTGAAGGCTGATACACTTATGCGACAAAGGATCTTGAGCTCGGTGTCGGGGTCACACGTGTGTCGTGTTTCCAAGCCTCCTGTTCAACAAATGCATATATTTTTCGATCATTCAGATTTTGCATCATGCTGAAGACTCACGGTGCGCTTCGGAGACATGCGAATTACACTCACGTACTGTATGCCCAGGCCAAAAAAAAAAAAAAGTGAGATTATGTATGAATACATGTTCTTATGAATGAAAGATGATTACTATGTATGAAAGATGGTGTATGAAAAAATATTCTCATGTGTTTATGCTGATTTGTTCCTAAGAGCCAGCCACATTGCAACCTCTACAGGCAGAGTTCTTCCCACAGAAACAATTCCTTATATGCATGTGTGACTGCATGCATGTATTTTACAAGGGTATGTAGTGAACAAAACGAGGGGGGGTGGCTTCAATCTGACAGAGGGCAGGGTGAGATTGTATTTCGGGAAGGAATTCTTCCTTGTGAGCACAGGTTGCCCAGAGAAGCTGTGGCTGCCCCATCCCTGGAAGTGTCCAAGGCCAGGTTGGATGTGTCTTGGAGCAACCTGGGCTAGTGGAAGATGTCCCTGTTCATTGCAGGGGTTAGAACTAGATGAGGTTTAAGGTACCTTCCAACCCAAACCTTTCTGGGATTCTATGATTTATATGTGTAGAGATGCATGGATATCATGGCTTGTATGCCAGGGGGTTAGTTTGAGGGAATTATATATATAGGCTGCACTATACTGTGCTATGTTCATTATGTTTCATATCATATGTATTATATCAGAGGTTGGTTGACCCTTGGGCAGTGTGGTAGCTTTGCTTGAGTAAAGACTGAGAGCCACTTACACTTAATAGAGAGATATTCTCATTCGTCCAAAATCCTTTCCTATCCATTCATCATTTACGTGCTATTTCAGCCGTGACTTTTTTCTAGGTTTGCATACAGAGCATGTACTTCTGTGTGCACACATGTGCACGTGTGGCTATTTGCACACACAGTGTCTCTGTAGGTGGTCTCAAATAGGTGGTCTGCTGGACCATCTGAATTTGTAGAACTATTTGCTCAAAATGGGGTTTGAAGGCCCAGGTTTTGGCTGTGCTTGCTGCAGAGGTGCACGACTGTAACACTGGTGTGAGGTGTCTAGGTGAGAATGGCCAGGCAAGGATGAAGGGAGGTATATTAACTGTGATTTCTATGCATGCTCCCCTGGCAATTAACCCCACTTTTCCCCCAGGGAAACAGGAAGGTCTTCTCCCCCTTATTTTACCACCCTTCCTTTTCTTGCTTGCTTGGTTCCCTTCTTTCCTTTAGCAGAGTATCTCTAATCATTGCTTTGCATCATTATCATTATCTCTTATTATGATCTTTAGTTACGATGTCAAAGAGGAGAAAAATGAGCTCAGTTTTCTGGCATCTTAACACATATTGATTTTAACAGCAGCTGCCACGAGACCTTCACATATGATGGATTGCTGCTAGACTGATGCAAAAAATACCCACATGAATAAAAATATTTACCAAAGAGAATAATCAGCAATTGCATAACTGCATTTAAGACATTATCATATTGACCAAAAGTCCAGGCAAGCTCAGGGGGTGATCTTAGTATGTACTAATATCAGGATAAGCTTTAAGAGGTTGCATTAGAGACCCTGTTTCAGGTACTTATGTCCATAACTAACCCTTGGCTTCTTGGGAGCTTCCTTGAGCCTGGAAAATTAAATATCCCAGTCTAAGTGCAGGGCACCTTGCTGCTGCCAGCCTCTTCTGTTTGGATGATAGAGGAGGCTGGAGACAGGCAGGGGTTGGCTGCTTCTCCCAGGTAACGAGTAATAGGACAAGTTAAGTTGAGAGAGGGGAAAGTGTAAGTTCAGTATCAGGAAAAATTTCTTCACTGGTGGTCAGGCACTGGAATGGGCTGCCCAGGGCAGTGGTGGAGTCACCATTCCTGGAGGGATTTAAAAGCCGTGTGGATGTGGCACCTGGGGACCTGGGTTAGTGGTGGGCTTGGCAGCGCTGGGGGAACAGTAATGAATTTTAGAGGGCTTTTCCAACCCAAAAGATCCTATGTCCAAAGCCATTAGCATCAAATCTCTGGACTCAACCGTTGCATCCAAAAAAAAAAAAAATCCAATATCATAAAATATTTTTTTTCAGGATTTCTTTCCTATTCTTTCCTATTCTTTTCTATTCTATCCTGGAGGCAACCTCAGCCAATCCTCTCTGAATTGTATCTTTCCATCTTTCAAAGGGACCTCCTGTTTCTTACAGAGTGGGAATTGGAACTATTCCTGCTTTCTTTTTCTGTTTTCATCCATCTGCACCAGCCTGGCAACCGGCAAAAACACACATATAAAGATGTCTTAATCTTAAATATAATTAGATGTAATACCTCACGCAGCGTTGTATGATTAGTAAAATATATGATCATTAGTTATTAGATTAATGTGTCTACTTGTGTAACTGAAAGCCATTTGCAGCCAGAAATGAAATAGCTCAATTTGCTGTAATTGACTTATCTCCCATAGAGATTAGTACACTTGCTGCTGGAGAAGGTTTCTTCAAATGCTGGAAGCAGCTGTGTGGAGAAGCTGGATCCTGTTTTCTTTGGAAAGCACCTACCCCGCTGGAGGCAGAGATATCCGAGGCGAGGTCTGGAGGATCAGCCGAGCCGTAATTAGGACTGCTGGAGTGAGGGCTGCTGTGTTTGGAGGGGGGCAGTACACGAGGATGCCTTTTTTGGGAACCTGCAGGATGTAGATCCAACCTGCCGTTGGGTGACCATGAGAGACGCAACAACCTTTTACTCCCCGTGGACGCCAATCCTGTTTGTGCCGGTGGAAATCAAGGGCAATTTCACACACACACACACACACACACACACACACACACACACAGGGAACGAGCCTGAGAAAAGCAAGTGGCAATGTTTGGGTCCTTGCACACCCCGGTAAAAGGCTCAGCACACAAGAGCAGCTGCACAGTAGCAAACCCTGGGCAGGGTATCTGCAATGCGGGTCTCTCATCCCAGCTCCTCCCAGGGGTGCCAACAGCAGCTTGGTGGGTGAACACACTCAGAATAGGGAATTGGGAGCACGTCTCTTCTGGCTACGTGGGATTCTGCCCTTAAATTATCTGTTGACACCTCTGACATTCTGAGGTGCTGTGGGGCCCCACAAATCTCAACTTTTGCTGCTGCCTCTTCTTCTCTTTTTTTTTTTTTTAAATAGGTTTTCTTATGGTTTTCTTAATTTATTTTTTTTTAGCCACAGCAACTAAGCGAACCGTTCAAATTGAAACACTGAAATGAACCAAGCTGAACAATAAACTAAAAGATGCCTAGAGCAAGTTGAGCAATAAACAGGTTTTTAATTTTTTTTTCCCCCTTCCATCTCGGTGGTGTCTGTCTCTGATAGATGATGTGACAAAAGAAGAATCCTCAATAAATTCTAAATTCTGAATACTAAATCAGTGAGCGAGAGCAGGCATGTGAGATGCCATCCCAGCTCATAAGTGGCTTTACTGCTGTGATACCACAATGATACTGCCCCATGGGGCTGCAGTGGAGGTGCAGCTGGACAGAGGCATTGAATCCATCCACCTGTGATGGTTTTATCCAACCTACGCCCAGCCCAAGTCCATAACCCAGGTGTGACTGAGGCTTTTCCCACTGTTTCCTGGCAGGAGTCTCAAAGGGAAAATATTATTCATAGATTTTAAGGCCAGGAGGGGATATTTTGCTCAGCTCTGACCTCCATTATAACACAGGCCAGGGAATTTCAGAGAGCGATTCCTGCAGGAGGAACAAATGGGAGGCATCAGCTCCTGTGTTATTTCATCTCATGTGAGATGTAAAAAGGCTGTGATTTCTACTAAGGGATGCCAGGGAGAAGGAGGACCTGTGAGGCAGGCGCTGGACGAAAAGAAAGCCTTGAGCTGGAAGAGCACCGAGACCATCCATATGAACTCAATGTTGTATGTTCTCTCTCACCTTTCAGGGGGGCTGAGAGCTGTAAAAACGTTTGCCCTTGGGAAAACTGTGTGGTTCAGGAGAAATTAAAAACAGGGGTTTTTTAAAAGCATTGTCACCGTCTTTGCCTCAGAAGGACCTAAATGTGAAATAATCCGACAAGGGATGTGATACAGCGTAAAGGGAGATGCTGGTAGCCACACACAGCTGTGCATTAGTCTTGGGACAGGCTTGTGCTTTGGACTTCAGTTTGCAGCCTGCTTTGAAGAGAGCTGAGGTGCATTTTCCTTCTGCAGCACCTTCTATCCTCTGTTTGTCCTGCCCGAATCAGGACGGAGCAGCTTTTCCTTCTCGGGTGTCATGCAGCCTCTCTGGAAGGAGCCATACATTCCTGCAGAAGACACTCTCTAATCTTTGGTGCAGAGCTTCAGCATAGAGTTGTGACTCACTCCAGCTCAGCCTGCCTGCATCTATTTATTATCCCTGTGGTTTTCCCATGGAACTTGTTGGTATCCAGAAGTTTCCACCTCCAATGAGCGAAACTCTTTGGTTTAACTGGAGAAACCCAGCAGCCTGGCTGGAGTCTCACCCTGAATTATTTTCGTTCCACTGAACTTGCAGCTCAGCTTGAAGCTGACACAGTCAAATGTACATGAGCACAGCCCAGATTTGCAATTGAATCCATCAAGCTGTGCATGGCTCTGCTGAACAACCCACGGCTGAGATGAGCTCAAACTTAATAATTCAGGCATTCAGCTTCCAACCCACACTTCATCATGGTCCTGCTCTGATCAGGCCTGGGGCTCTCCTTTAGCTCATGAAAAGTGGAGTTCTTTGAAACTCAGAGTAAGGTTTTTGTCTTAACTCAGTCTGTAGATCCAAATTAATCTTTACAATCTGTCTACACAGGTAAATCAGAATGACTTGCTTAAGCATCACTGGGGAGTCGGTGCAGAGACCTCAAGTTGGCTTGACGTGGTTTGTTGGAGGAAAATAGGTTTAGCCCAGCCTGCAAACTAATGGATGATTTATAAAACTCAGAGTGACAGGGAAGAATTTGAGCCTCTCTCCTTCAGGAATATTCCCATGGCTTGCACATATCGCCTTGGTGTGGTTAAAATGCATGAGCAGACAATGATAAACTAAATCAGGCACCACTACAAACACGACAAATAAGCCATGATGCCAAATGCACATTACCTGTAGGTACTTTTGAACTATTGCTGCCATCAGTTCTGCTGCCAGGCTGTTTTCTGAGGATAACCCAGGTATTACCAGATTTATCACCTTTTCTTCCTCATTCCATTTCTCACGGCCAAACACATCAGCAATTCACCAGCTCAAAGACCACTACCATTGGGGGGGGGGGGTTTCCATATTCATCTCTCTTCTGAATAATTTTGCCATATTGCTTTTTCATATTTAGATAACAAATATTACTGAAGCTCCTTTCCCCCATTATTTGATCAGCACCGTAAAGCATGACGGAAACTGGCCTGTGGAACACTGCTTGGAAGCACAAAGCAACTCAGGTGTTGGGAAAGCTGGGGTACAGCAAAGTGACCCATAAATCCTGCCTCATCTCACCTTCCTCTTTAGGTGTGACTTACTCAAAAAAAAAAAAAAAAGACTTGGAAATATCTCTGAAAATGAAACTCCTCTGTGTACAACCTGTGAAATGAAAGGCAGTTCTTTTGCCTTGCTGGAAGAAATGTCCTACAATAAAGTTCCCATATGCCAGTGATGTCCAGCAGCTGTGAGTGAAAACAAGGCTATTCTGGGTGCTGACAGGGAAACATCCCATCAAATTAAATAAAACAAACAGCTAATATGAAAAGAACAGTGTTTCCAGTTGTTTTTTAAGATGGGAGCCTGAGAACGTGGGATTGCCATGAAAGCAGGTCTGTGGCAGTACCAGGAGCTGAATCACAGAATCATTTGGACTGGAAGGGACCTTAAATCTCATCTCATTCCAAACCCTGCCATGGGCAGGGACACTTTCCACTAGACCAGGTTGCTCCAAGACACATCTAACCTGGCCTTGGACACTTCCAGGGACGGGGCAGCCACAGCTTCTCTGGGCAACCTGTGCCAGGGCCTCACCACCCTCACAGGGAAGAATTTCTTCCCCAATATCCCATCTAACCCTGCCCTGTGGCAGTGGGAAGCCATTCCCCCTTGTCCTGTCCCTCCAGACCCTTGTCCAAAGTCCTTCTCCAGTTCTCTTGAAGCCCCTTTAGGCACTGAAAGGGGCTCTAAGGTCTTTCCAGAGCCTTCCCCTGTCCGGCCAAAGTCCAGATATTCCCCCTCCTGTTCCTCCAATCTCCAGCCCAGGGATACTCAAAAGCAAAAGCCACTTCTCATTTTCCTTTGGACAAGTGGGTGGGTTCAGCAGAGCTGGGGGACTGGAAAGGAAAGGTAATGGAGATTTTACAGCCACGGAGCTGATATAGCTGGAGATAAAGGCATTGCGAGCTCTGGTGTCACAAACTTTATTGCAAGGCTGGTGTATATAAAAGAAGAAACACGACACGGTTTTCAGACAGATAAAGCAGAGCTTTAAAACCTGGCAGTCAGTGCAGAAATAGCTGATTTTTAATTCACAGGTGGTGAAAAGAAAGACGTTATTAAGAAAAAGGGCCAAAAAAAGAAAATGCAGTAACAGATGAACTGCATTAAACGGGCCTGCCTGGAAAAGGAGGATGGGGGTGCTCCTGGTTAGTTTTAATTTATGTTATAATAATGGCCCATCATTATCCATCAGGACAGTCTAAAGGGCTGACACCAAGCTGGAAGCAATGTGCCAGGCCACAGGCTGTTCTCCACTTGCCCAAGGCTGGTGGAGAGATGTGAGGAACCACCTTAATTCATCACTGCCTCTGCCTGGTAAATACACAGGTTCTTCTGAGAAGATAAATAGTCAATAGCTATTTTCTATTCCTAATCCTTGTGCCTTTCAGGAATGTGCATATCTCTATCATACTCCCCTCCAGCTGCCTCTTTTCAAGACATCTCATATAGTGTTGGATACTTGTGATACAGAAATCTTATTCCAAATCCTAATCTGTCCATTGTTTCCTTCCACAGTATCTTTTTCAGAGACCAAGCTATCAGATTGCCACAAAGGACGACCCATTCTCATTCGCTCCTCTGGAGAAATCGCATGGGCTTGAGACTTCTTTTGTGTTTTATGCAGGGTTATTGCACAGGATCCATTTGTTTCTGTACCACAAGGATAAACAAAGATATAATTCTTTCTTCTCTGTTAAATTTATATGCTCGTATTTACTGCTTCTGATTTGACAGGATTAGTCTCACACTTCACAAAATTTAAAGCATCTCTGTTAGGTATAGAAATTCTAACTATCAATACAGGAATTAAGCTGCTTAATAAAATATCCATACCTCCAGCTGTCCATTCCCCAGTGCTAGTGGTCTTTAAGAGCTCCTTTATCCAGGATGAGTTGAGGTGCCAAAACCCTTTCTCCCCATAGGACAGAACTGGGAAATCATCTGTGCCAAGCCAGAAGGGAATAGAAAATGTCATAGGGAAAGTAATATTCACACAAGGCAACTCTCCATGATTGGTAAGATCAAAGACAACATCCATTTTACAGGTAGACAAACATATTTTTCTTTTTTTCAGTAGTGCCAAAGAAGGGTGAGGGTAGGAGGTGAGTAGTTAAGGACTAGAACACAGCCAAAACCAAGCTCTTACCAGAGACACCTGAATAAGGAATTAATTATCCCTGGCTCTTCCATAGGACTTGGCACTTCCCAAGCTAAATCAGTCCCCTGCCAGACATGAATCTCTTTATCCCTTACTCTGGAAATTGTGTGTTTAAAGTTACGTAGGCTCTCAAAGACATTAGCAGAAAGGTGGGAACAGATCCATGTCCCTTGGAAAGGTGCTTCAGCCAAGAAACAGACCAGGAGAAAGAGCTGAAGTTGAGAAAAATATTGACCTGAAAAGCTTCTGAATTTGTTCATCGGTGGTTTCATGTCTCTCTAACTTGCACTTGCACAGTTTTCTCCCTCTCCCTGTAGCACCAAGGGATCATTTTGCCTAACTGCTAATGACAGCCTTACTCTGTTGCTGGTTATTAATAATGACACCAATAACAAGAAAAAATACTAAATATACAGGATTTTCATCAGATGTGCATTCTTTGGCTGCTCCACTAATACTCTTCTTCCTTTCCTACATCCAAAACTATCACCTTGCCTCCCTTCCAAAGGTGATAAATCACACAAACATTACCAGATCTACCTCAGTGCTCAGTTAACTGGAAGCAGAATCTCCTTTTTTCAACTAGAATAAGCAAAGCTGCAACTGCTCATAAGAGCCATCCTAGAATGGGATCCACCTCCAGTCAAGGAAGGGTTGCAGCTGAAATGTAAATGAACCAGAGAACTATCTAGGCAGGTGAAATATAATTCCTAGGCAAAGATCCTGGATGCTCCTGCATAATGCTGTTTTTTTTCTGAAATCTGAAGGGCCTTCTAGATATCTAGTATAATAAATATTCTACCTTTCTATATCAGTCATTCACATGGGTCTGGTTCAAAATCTTGTGCTTGACTTAATTTTTTTTTTTATTTTAAGGAAGAAAGCCAGATATTTTTTTTCAAGTCATCAAAAAGGCAAAGATCTACTTTTGCCCCTGATGATTATTATCCATGGTTAATTATCCTCGCTGAGAGAAAAATATATGTTTTGTTTCCAATTTGACATCTTATAACTTTAGTCTCCAGTCCTCAGTTCTTGTTACCTCCTTCCTCACTAGACCAAGGAGTCCTTTGGTACCCACTGAAGGATCCAGGAAGGAAATATACTCTCTCATCAATTCTCCTCTATATCTTTCTGATAAGCTGAATAGATCATGTACCTTCAGCTGTTCACTATGGGACAGCTTTTACCCTTCCATTACTCTAAACTCACACATTCTTTAATAACAGTGCCCTGAGGTCTTTAACCACTGTAAACAAGGTCACACAGCATAAGGACAGAGCTATGAGGGGCAAAGTATCTCATTAAAGGTGAAAAAAACACCACAGCAACAGTTTGCCCTCTGGAGTGTCAGCTCTAGCATGGTAGAGAAATCCACTGAAAGTTGCTAAATATTGAAAACAGTGAAGCAGGGGCAGAGATTGGAGGCTGGAAGGCACCAGTCAAAGGATGCTCACTTCATCCTGAGCCTCTTCCCAGGCCCCGTGGGGCAGCACTGCTGAAAATAGACTAACACAGACCTTTCATCAGAGGCCACACTTCCAGTCCTGGGGGTAGTTCTGGGCCCCTCAGGACCAAAAAGACATTGAGGGGCTGGAGCGTGTGCAGGGAAGGGAACGGAGCTGGGGAAGGGTCTGGAGCAGCAGGAGCGGCTGAGGGAGCTGGGGGGGCTCATCCTGGAGAAAAGGAGGCTCAGGGGGGACCTTCTGGCTCTGCAACTCCCTGACAGGAGGGGGGAGCTGGGGGGATTGGGCTCTGCTGCCAGGGAACAAGGGACAGGATGAAGGGAAACAGCTTCAAATTGCACTAGGTGGGGTTTACATTGGATGCTGGAAAAATTCTGTCACAGAAAGGGTTGTCCAGGCCCTGGCAGAGGCTGCCCAGGGCAGTGTTGGAGTTCCTATCCCTGGAGGGATTTAAAAGCTGTGTGGATGTGGCACTTGGGGACATGGGTTAGTGGTGGCCTTGGCAGTGCTGGGGAATGGTTGGACTCGATGGTCTTAGATGACTTCTCCAACCTAAGCAATTCTGTGATTCATTTGACCCAGCATGGTTTCTCTTACACTTTCACATCATGTCAGTGTACTCATCACACTTAGTGTTGCACTGTTCTTGAGCTGACTTTCCCCTGCTATAATCCTAATAACACATCCATTTGCACGTTGCCACCAGCACAAACCTCCTACCCTGATTTAAGAGGTGGAGAACTCATTGTTTTCACAGTTGGGTTCTTTAATTATTCTGAGTCCAGCTGGAGAACATCTATAAATACAGACCAGGCTCTGCTGGTGTGTTGAGAGTACAGCACAAGGTGCTAATGCTGCTAATAATTGAGTGCTAATAACTGATGTGCAAGGAGCTGATACTGCAAAACTTTGATCCCATCCTCAAGCTAATGCCAGCGATGTTGCAAAATGCAGAGCAAAGGAACAAGGCTGTAGTTTGTGTTAAATCAGCCCAAACTGGCATCAGATGAGTTGAATTAGTACACAGAGAGCGTATGAAACATATTTATTTTGTTAATAGAAATGCCTAGTTATATTAGCCCCTTTTTTGCTTATTATTCATAATATTTTTCTGTAATACAGAAAATCAGTTTTTATTTTTAAAATGCAATCAAATTATATTTCCTATTAAAACTTTAATATCAAAACAAATTAACCAGTGCTGCAGATTACACATTAGTAATGTAGTTCTGACAATAATTCATGCTCTTCTCGATTCTGTTATGAACTATCACACTGCTAAAGTGCAGCAGTTCATAATATATTCTTAAGGGGAAGTGAAATGCCTTTTATTTTTTGAAGGGAAAAAGTGAATTAGACAGGATACCTCAATGGGAAGTGGTTGGGCCAAATCTTCAGATGAAAGTATTCTCAGATGAAAACAAAGCCAGGCCTGTTCTTCCTCTAGTAACCTGCTGAGATTGACGGGCTCCTTTTTTTTCAGACGCAAAGACAATCATTTCAGGATACAAACCACAAGACCAACAGGTTCACTGCAAGACACTGTCCAAGTCCCTGTTGCACAGCAGTGTCTGCTACTCCTTAGACAGTACCTGAAGCAGCTCAAGAGTGGAAAATCTGATTAAGTGGGGCTATTAAGGAAGAAACACTTGGATGTGATTTTGTGCAGGTGGCTTGGTGAAGTAATGCTTTTCCAGGTACGAGATAGTGCACTAATGCAGAGACAGTGGCATCCTAAAAACTTTCGAGGTCACTAAGCATGATCTGTCCATCACAGGTTCATCTCCTCCATCCCTTTTGGAGGCAGCTGCTGGCTCACACCTGGCCAGACTTTCTGAAATAGTCCACCCCAGGTCCAGGCTCAGGAGGAACAGGTCAGCTCTGCTCTAGAAGACGTTAAGAAAAGTTCACCTCAGTTGTCCAGGTGAGTGCATGTCATAGAATCATAGAATCCTAGAATGGTTTGTGTTGGAAGGGACCTGCAAGCTCATCCAGTTCCAATCCTGTGTCATGGGAAGGACACCCTCCAGTAGACCAGGTTGCTCCAAGCCCCGTCTAACCTGGCCTTGAACAGGTCACCTTGATCAGTCACATCCTCAGGTACCTGAATTTGTTCCCACACCACCAAATGGGGCTCATATGGAGGAAGAAGCATCACTTAAAAAAAAAAGAAAGAAAAATTAAAAAAAAAAAAAATTAAAAAAGGGAAGAGATACAGTAATTCTCAGAATAAAAATTCCAAGCCAAGCAAAGACTTGCAGTAAGGGGAAGGCACATCAAAAGCAAAACTGAGCAACCTGTTTCCTGTGGTGAAAACAGGGACGGGGAAGGTGCCTTATGATGCAGCCAAGAGGAGACCACATCGACAAGAAGGATGTTACATCCACAGGAAACAAAACAACGTGGTTTGCAGGCTGGCAGTGAGCAACATGATCGATACATTTGTCTGCCCCATGAGTCCTGCTTTGAGCAGAAGGGTAGAAGTCAGTACCAGGGCTGGAAGGACCCAAGGGATGGAAGGGCCAAGGTCTGGAATTTGTTCCTTTGCTCAAGGACATTCTCTCTGGCCAAAATTTAGGGCTTTAGAGCCCTGATTTGCCAGCATGCTCTGCTGAGTTGTGCATCCTGAGAGCCAAGATCAGGTTCCCAGCCCCTTCTCTGCTCCAAATAGGTGGCCTGCACCTCCCAACCTGAACCATACGTGATGTTAGTTACCAGTTGATGATTGTGATGCTAATTAAAACATACTAAGAGACACACTATAAACATGCACAGCACATGAAGGAAATTAGCCAAGTGAGCTTGTCTCTCTTATTGTGCTTTTATTATGATGCTCCTCGGATGATGTTTTTAAATGAATTTTGAATAGTTTTCTTAATTTGTTTTATTTTGCTTCATGGTAACAAAACTGCTGGAGCCCCACAGGAATGATTCAGAGAAGTGCAATATTATTGGAACATGTCTCCTGCTTTTCTCACTGCTTACTTATAATTAAGCTTTATTGAGGTGTAAAATGAATAACAATTTAAAAAAACCCCACGTTTATTGGTCCAGGTGCAAATTTACAGATACTCCAGAAAACTTTGTTTTCCATGACCTCAACAAAACCTTGCTGGTTTCTACCAACTCCCATCAGTTTCTACTAAGGCAGCATCCTGCTCAGCCATATGTCCCAGTGGGACATCTCTTCAGAGCCACTTGTCACTACTCCTTGCACACAGGCGAGTGGAGAGAGTATTCCTGGTTTTTCTGCTTGGAAGCGAGCACACATGACAGCTGTAGCTGCTCCCCATAGCACAAAGGTCCTGGTATCAAACCTCATTTTTTCCTGCCCTTGGTGGGAATCAAGACTCTGCTGTGAAAAGCAAAGTGGGAAGCAACACCTTATCTATTGCTGTATTTGCTCCTTTCGTGGACTGTCCTGATGCAGGCAACTACTGCAGACATAATTGTAACTGGAATGCAAGATTTAATTAGTAGAAAAAAGTGGGGGAAACGCAGGAAAAGTGAGTAGGCTTCCCAAAGAGACAAAGTTCTCATAGACCCCAATTTATCCTGGTTTTAGACATTAGTGGAACCAGTTGTGATCACATACTCAACACTACCTTCAGCTCACCACTGGTCCAGGCTTTGACTTCCCATTCCTGGCCTTTGACAATCTTTTGATTGGGGAATATTTGGCTGCACCATTCAAAGAGATGGCTGGCTCTGTTTTGGGGGGTTTTGGGGGGTTTCACTTTTTTTAGGGAATGTTTTCTTGGCAGGCACAGAAAGCACGTCTGCACGTTCAAATGGGTTTCCCAACCTGTAGCACAGTTCAAAGCCAAATCCCAGAGTGGTCAGCAGTCCTTCTGCTCAATCTGGGATTTTAGCACTTACAGCATCCATTTTAGCACCGTGCTGCTCCCCCAGAATGCAGCACTAATGGATTACTGTGCATTACGTCCCTCATTACTGCTTAAATATTTATCAGAACATTATGTATTTAGTGGCTGGGGGAAAGAGGCAATCCTGCCTTTTGCCATACAAAAGGGTTAATTACAGACTGGATAAGTCTCCATGACTTAAAAATTGATAAAACAGATAGAGAGATTAACAGGAGAATGTGTTATTTACAGCTAAATAAACATTCAGCTGCATAATCCCGAGCTGGGATTTCCCCATAGGAAAAACAACTAAAGTCAGTATTTTATATCAATGGTCTACATTTGTACAGCAGGGGAAAAAAAAACAGAGAAGGCTGGTTTCTACTGTCTGAAAACAAACAAGTTGCTCATCTGAGGCAGCTTCCTACCCCGGGGCTGGTGTTCTTGGAAATATTTGGAGAAGTTTGTTAAGAGCAGATTTGCTCTGGCCTCAACCTGACAGTATGGAAGCAATTGCATTTCCATCTTTCCCTGCTATTCATGTGCCTCTCTCCATCTTTTTCAACACTGAATCTTGAATTTTTAAATCTATTTTCAGTCTACACTTCCCTTAAAACCATGCTCGCAAGTTGTTTCCGTGGGTGCCTATCATACCCGTACTATCTATTGCTGCTGGAGGCAAACACGGGTACGTGTGCTAGAAGAAAAAAGTCAGAAACCAACGTTTAACATGAAACAAAGCAACCCCTGTTTGCACTTCAGCAGGAATTCTTTCCCTGATGATAATCCCACCACCACCACTTCCACTGCTGCACTGGTCCACGTGTTACACACGTGTAACACACACATCACTTGTAAAGATGGGCTTATTTACAATTAAAAACCTTACTTAAGTTTGGGTTCTTCAGCAGACAAAAGACACCAGAAAACCCAGTTGTTCGTGGAATTCAGCCAATGTTTGTCTCATAAAATAAGTTCTTAAGGTAACTTATACTGGCACTGTGAAATATTGTTCATTATAACGGAGCAGCTGAGATAATGTTGTTTTCTAATTTCCCTTTCTCAGTCAGAAATTAAATAAAAAGTCATGTCTAAATTACAATACTGGATTGAACGCAGACAAGGACCCCATGCGGGGAGCTTATGATATATCCTTCCCACGTTTTATAGCCATTAAAAAAGATTATAGGATTTTTTTTTCCTTTTCTTTTAGGCCATTTACATTTGTTCTGAACTCTCACTGTGTTTTATTTGAAGCTCTTAAAAGTGCCAATGTACATAATAAGTCAATCAAGAAGTTAAATTAAGAAAAAAAACAAAAACATATTGACTTGTCTATACCAAACATGCACTTGGAAATCTGAACTCCACCACCTAATGACTTTCTGACTTTGCAATAAATATCACTGAGCAGGGGTAGCTGAGTTGTTCTGCACAAGGAAGTGCATTTATAATCTGATTAAGAGGTCTTCTATCTTAGCACAACCCCAATAATGGGGTGCTCTGTGCTCTTCCCCACCAAAGCATCCATTAACATCTGCAGAAATGCTCTGTGGGGGCTGGACTGCTTCTAACAAAGCTTTCCAACCTCAAAAAAGCTTTCCTTGTCCCTACTGATTTCTGTAATGCCTGGTTTGCCCACGCCCGTGGGGGGTCACAGAGCAAATCCCACAGGGCCAAGTGCCCCTCCGTGCCACTAACCCCTCTGCTGCCCTTCATCTGCTGCCTCCCTGATTCCCCCAGACCCCAAAATCCTCCTGCACAGGGCTCGGCCATAGCAGTTTGGTCTGCACAGCTTTCCAGCTGCTTTCCCAGCTGCCTGATACCCACCCACCACCCCATGCCCAGCTTTTCCCTACCTCATGGCTCTCCCCTTGCTCTGGCTGCCATCTCCTCCTGGAACAACACACCGCTCCTTTCCTCACAGGGGTATCGAGTCATTCAAGGTCATCTTCCTCTGCTGTTGTTATTCTGAGCCTGCAAAAGATTTTTGACAAGGTAGAAATTGATTCTTCCTTTTCAACCCTGCAGATTTCCTCTTTTTCCACAGATTTTCAAAGCCAAACCTCTTTCCCCCTTCTCAGTTCCAAGAGCATTTCATGAATCCTTCTTCACTTTGGCAGCTCGTCTCAGAGCTGGTGACATCAAAGGACCTTGAGGCAGGTTTCTCATGAGGCTTCATTAGCTGAAGGTGGGATTTATCTCACTTTCACACCAGAACAACATCTCAGGCCAGACCAGTCAGCTGGGCTCTCTTCCAGTCAATAAAGAGAAAAAGGCAACTCCAGAGGCAGATTTACCCAAGCAAACTGGGTTGACTCTTCTTAAAAATGAGTCACCTTTCTTCTGAAAGCACCTCTTTCTTTCCACTGATTAGGAAGGCACCCCAGGCTGCCAGGTTGGACTTGACTATTTAGCTTCAGGAAGGTGGGCACCTGGCCTTGTTTTTCCATGAAGATGCTTTGCTGTTGGAAGTGTGATTTCTTGGACAGACCTCACAGCACCGTAGCTGCACAAAGCTCTCCTCACATGCTGCATCAGCAAGGTCAAGCCACTGGGAAAATTCTTGTTCATATTATTGTGTTGGTCCCTTACCGACAGCTCACATCAGAAACCTGATGCTTTCACTGGAGTTTGACACCATTTGCTTCCTACTGCTTGTCTATCCTTGTGAAAAGATTGCCGTGTTTTACTCCAGAAGTGGCTGCATTCCAGTGGAAGGTGAAGTGCTCCTGCATGTGGATTCCTGGACTTTGTTCAATAAACATAAAACTTTAATATTGTGTTTGGATTGCTGCAAATGGAAGGTGCTGTGTTACCCTAATGCATTTTCTGGGAACATGAGCCCGCTCTATACCTCGGGACTCAATTAATTAAAGAACATTAAATACAGTACGAGGTCTTCCTCCGAGCGGCACAAACACCTGCACTTCATTGTGCAACTTGTGCCTCTCATAATAGCTACAGAGATAGCTAAGGCCTAATCCAAAACCTATTAAAGTCCGTGGAAAGGTTCCCATTTACTTCAGCCTGGCTTGGATCAG